TGCCTGGGGGGGGGGGGGGGGGGGGGGGACTTTCTATACTGAAAATGGATAGGTTGCAGTTTTATATCTGCGTTCGTAATTAGTAGATATAGAACTTCATGAAAAACCGGACGACTTTAAACGCGTTTTTCTCGAATTAACGTTTTTAAGTCGATGGATACTATATCTTGAGAAGTAATTATCTAATCGAGTTCAAATTTGGAAATTTGTTTCGTTAAAATAAATTTCTGCCGAAAGTGAATCCCTAAAACTGCTGACTTTTCGAAATTAAACATTTTTTAGGTGCCTTCAAAGATAAAAAGAAAGTTAAAATGTACTCTGTGTTTGCTAAGCTGTAATTAGAAGTATTTTTATCGAGGTTCATTCCGTAGGAAAAACGTCTTTATTTTATCTGAAACAAAAAACCAAACAGCTTGTTATAAAGAATACTTTTTCTACGCCCTATAGAATGAACCTCGATAAAAATACTTCTAATTACAGCTTAGCGAACACAGAGTATATGTATTTTTTAACTTTCTTTTTATCTTTGAAAGCACATAACTGGTGAGCATGACACGACTTATGCTCACCAGTTTAATAAAATTTTTACCGCCTGGAGGCGGAGCACATATTTCATATTAATAATATAGTAAATAATTAATTTTTTTTTAAATAAAAGTCATAAATGTGCACAAATATGTAATAAGTAAGTTTCCGCAAGTAAAAAAAACATTGACGAAGAACTTTCGCCAGAAAGAATTTTTAATATCGCTCAATTTCCGACCCAATTCAGACGAAAGTCCTGTTATAACAAAGACACATTCATATTTTTAAATGATGCAAAATCGTTCATTTCAAAAGTTTGTCCATTATTCGATCTAAACGTGATAATAAAAATTTCTGGATATTCGATATATGGAAAACTAAACGCTAATTCCTCGTTGCTCTGAGATTCTCGTGTGGCCTCAACCAGGCGCATCGAGGTCTCCATTTGTTTCAGCCTCGAGGATTAGACGCCATATAAATCGTGATTATAGATTATCATGATTATAATCGTGATCGTATAAACAAACATAAAAACATCTCTAGAAATTTTATAGGTATATATCGATCTACTTTTTACCACATGTAGTTAAAGTATTGAGTATAAATTTAAGTCTAAAGTTTCTCGATACTTTCGACTTTTTTAATTTGTTTTTGTATATCACATTTAATTATCGTATCACTAATTAGCGTCTCGGACTGAAACGATTAATTACCATATACCATTCATGATGCATCGTTTGAGCCTATAACATGGGCATAACGTGTACATAAGATGTCCTAGTTTCTTTTAAATTGATTTATATAATAAAAGAATGTGCATATAAGAACGTTCTGTACTTCGACGATCGAAAGTATAGCGACTCAAAGCTGAGTTTGAAAAAACTTTGATTAATTTAATCGGTGATTAACATATTTTGTAACTCTTGTAATACTTTGTTAGCGTGTATAAAATATTAATTTTTTTGTCGTTTAGAGATTGAAGAAAAACTGGATATAAATGATTTACGTAAAATTATATGTGTATATAAGGTCCTTGGGAGGTGTCCGCGCAGGAGATCGCCAATAAGATGGATCAGGTGAAGGCATTAACAGGCAACCCTCTACGAGTGG